GTTAAACTTAACTTTTCCCAGAAAAAGAGAAAAGTGCGAACTGGACCAAGCCTTCGAAAAGAACAGATCCCGAAAGAAATTCCGAGTAACCTCACTAAACGAATAATTCTCTCACAAGTGAACAGTATTTATGATCCCTTGGGATTGGCCGGACCATTCACAGTTCGAGCAAAGATCATGATGCGGAAACTTTGGGGAAGTGAGATGAAACTCGATTGGGACGACCCTGTTCCTGAAGAAGCCAGGCAAGGTTGGATAGAGTTCTTCAAAGATCTTTTCCAGATGGAAGAAGTAAAGTTCAAGAGATGCATGAAGCCAAATGAAGCTGTAGGTGACCCCACTCTAGTCACCTTCAGTGATGGATCACAGGACGCATACGTAGCATGTTCTTATGCTAGATGGGAGTGTAATGATGGAAAGTATCGAAGCAGCCTGGTGGCATCCAAGAATCGTCTTTCCCCAGTTAAGAAGATCTCCATTGACCGGGTAGAGTTGTGTGCAGCTGTTCTGAATAAACGGTTGATAGCGTTCATCGAGGGGATTTCAAGATATCAGTTCAGCGGCGGGTATTACCATATTGTCGACTCCCAAATTGTACGTGCAATGATCCAGAAGGAAACTTACGGTTTCAACACTTTCGCAGCTACACGCATTGGTGAAATCCAGGAAGGAACTATTCCTGCTGACTGGTATTGGATAAAAGGAGATTTCAACATCGCAGACTGGATCACTCGGGGGAAGAAACCAAGCGAGATCGGTCCAGACAGTGCATGGCAGAACGGCCCAGAATTTCTTACGAAACCCGTCTCGGAGTGGCCAGTAGAGCAAACCTTTAACGGAGAGGAACTTCCCGAGAGAATCAGAGTAGCAAAGGCAACGAACACGACAGTGACCAACATCCCAGCAGCTGCAATCGACATCACACGATATTCTTCGTATAACAAGTTGATGAGAGTTACAGCGAGAGTCATTGCCACGGCTTCCAAGAATCCAAAGCCAAGCTTGAAGAACACCGGCAAAACATTGACACCTACGGACATCCAAAAGGCTGAAACTTTCTGGATCAAGAAGCACAAGAGTCTATGAAGAAAAAACTTGACGAAGGAGAATTTAAAAGACTCTGGCCTTTAAATAAAAAAAACACGGCCACGGCCCCCCCCAGCTGGCAATTCTTGCAGGGCGCAAAAATGAAAATGGGGCGCCAATCCCGCGCCGAGTTTTGAAAGTGGGTGGCAAAAAACGCATTCGAAAAAATATAGTTAGTTCCGCCGAGAAAAGATGTGTTTATACGCTTATAAACAGACTAAGCGCATAGGCGGCAAAGTGATATATTAAATTATACAGACTATTTTGTCTAACCGTACTTGCTAATTTGCTACCTCACGGCTCACACGAAATCGTTCATATAGAAGCATGAACTGTGATCACACGCAATGTCTCATCACCGGAATATTGGTCAGGTTTCGAAGCGATCACGGGAATCACGCCCTTTTTTGCTGGTATTATGCCCTTTATTATGCTTCACGAATCACAAGAGCGGCGCAAATTAGATAGTTTAACTTATGATAATGTAAAGTTGTGTACGCAATTTAGTTGTTTGCGCTAGAAACATCATGAGTAATGTGAGTAATGAAATAATGCTGAAACGCGCCCTTTTGGCAGCCAGGTAGGGAAACCTTAAAATACATATGCGTGGGGTCCGTGTGTTATTGTATAAAAGAGCTGTATGTTGTAATTGTATTCAGATCACTAGATCAGTAGAGGATAGAATTTGGATTAGATTAATCGCTGGAAGTTGTTAGCATTGCATAATATAAGTACTACCACTACTACTGAATTCAAACCAAATTGCAAATTTCGACACGTTATAATGCCGCTTCCTGACCATCAGATTTCTGTCAAATCTTCCCCCAGGGTCCAGGAAATGGCATTTCAGAGACTCTAAATTCAAAAATTTTCCTGGGGGCATGCCCCCGGACCCCCCTAGACAAACCTCGCACCTGCGGCGCTCGGCTCGTGCCATACTACTATCGCTGCGTATGTTCTGATCTCCGGGTAATACCACAGAATATAAGCAACACTGAAATATATACTGTGCATGACCTCGTGCTTTTCTATTTATTAACTATGGTTCAACGTTGTTATCGTGGGATGAATATAGATGACGTTTACTCTTTTCAGGAATCAGGACTTGAAATAACGTTCCCAAAGTTAGTCCCGATCATCATGATCAGCAGTCATGACTTATTGCCGACTTTCGTCGATCACATTTATTTACCGAGCAATTTCTTGCCGATGTTTGATCGGTGGTATTTGTCCTGCTATTTGTGAGTAAAGCCGGTTTGTCCGATGCTGAGTTGACTCACCTGAAGAGTATTGTAGTCAATTTACTCACAAGTTTTGCTGAGTACTGAGGAAACTGTTTGGTACGGTCTTTGAGTAAATTTACCTTTGAGTAAATTTACTCATCACATTTGTGTAGCTGGTGGTGTTTACTCGATATTTCTTACTCACACATTTACCAGTGTAAAAATATTCAAACCATGAGTGACCAGTACATTCTACTCACATTGAGTAGATTCGCATCTTTACTCAGCTTTGAGTAAATCGATCAGGCTGGAAAGCATATTAACTCAATGTTAGAGTAAAACATCGATTCTACTCAAAAATAACGAGTAAATATGAAGCAACATACTCAAATGAGTAATTTTACCGATTATAACTGCGCAAACGATAGTGGTTTACTCAAAATAGTTTACTCAGGTGTTTGAGTTTGAAGTTACACTCAGCATATTCGAGTAAAAATACTCTTAATTAAACTGAGTAAACATTGCATTTTACGCAAATTTATGTGTTAAAATAATTCAAAGCGAAAAATGGATTTTTTGCAGTGTAGTAATATAATCGTACACAGTGCATGGTCAAAGTAGCTTTACGCTTACGAGGTCGAACACTGCCTAATGAATAGCAAACACTGATTGGTCCAATTTAAAATTTGCATTATAAAGACGGCTTGACGACAGACGACAGCGAAATAGCAAACATCTCTTGATTTCTTGCAAATATATTTCATTGATTGCAAGATTTTGTAAATTTCAAAAACGTTAATGAAGGTAAGGTTGTTTTAAATACTGATTGATGTATTGTTTTGCTTTATTATTGCTTTAAAAGCAGATCGTTGAGTATAATGAAAAAAGACAGCAAATAATTTCACTGTATCGATCTTTATTGATCATGGGCCGGTTGTACGAAAGGTGGATAAATCGCTATCCGGTGGATAAGTCCCTATCCAGCGGATAAATTTTATCCGGAGTGAAAATCGCGTTGTACGAAGCTTGGATAGCGCTATCCAACGGGTAAATTGCACTATCCGTTGGATTAATTTATCCGAGGTCCGGAGGTAGTTTAAATCCACTATACCGGCGGATAAACTCAAAGTTTGAAGACAAAACAATGTGTATTTCTTTTAAAAGGGATTGCTATTGTGATAGAAATGGACAAATACCGTTTGGAAGTCCCTTTTTTAACAAAAAATAAACATGGAAACTTACTTATGACTTCTCTTGGCCTTGCTCTTGACGTACGGCCTAGCTCACTTTGAGTTTATACTTAACAAATATAAAACATTTTCCGTGTTGATATACAGTTATATCAACACGAGTGGAAATTGGGAAAACGAGAAATTGTGTGGAAACACGACGCCCGAAGGGCGGAGTGTTTTCACAGAATTTCGAGTTTTCCCAACTTCCACGAGTGTTGATATAACTATATATCAATACGGAAAAAATGTTTTATATTTGTTTTATAATATAGCAATGTCAAAAGCCCGAAGAATAAGAAAAATGTCCGTGTTAACAAGCGGCGGAAAATTTCCCGTGTTGACATGGAGTTATATCAACACGGCTCTTAGCCAATCAGCGTTCAGAATTTACAAATGCTATATTATAATTGCCAATTAAATAATGCCATGACTTTGCCATATTTTACGCAGACCAGTGTCAGTGCTTAGACGTTAAGTTTTCTGGCTTTTTTCCTTCTTTTTTCTATTATATAGCTCGAAAACAAGCAATAAAACTTTCATTAAATGAGTTCCCTTCAACGCCAAACTGCAAACAAATATAGCTGCATATATTAATTAAATAGACAACAAGGCGCCGAAAGTCGAAAAATTTTGTTCGCTGGCCTTGATCAGCCAATTAAATCTTGCGAGAAAATGTTCTTAAAGTTGTTTTGAATGAAGGGAAAGGTCAAAGAACAAATATTCCGACAGTATTTAAAATAAAACTGAATCAACGTACTGAAACAAGAAAACAAAACTCGCAGTCTTTGCTATTGCCTTCGCATAAAGAAGCCAAAAATCTTTTAAAGAAACATCGATAAGTAGATAGAACACCCTTCACTGTGGGAAACGAAGTATTGCAACGACTGGACGAGAAAAACTCCAAAATATAAACATGATGTCATGAACAGAAAACCTTTATTGCAAGTTGATAGTTCAAAGGTTAGTGGATTTCACAAATTATACGAAGATACTACAACAAAAGTTTACAAATGCCTAGCAACAGCTGGCGTAGAGATAAGAAATGTAAGGAAAATCCGGTTTTCTCCGGTTAAAATTAAGGTTATCCGACGGTTATAGTTATCCACCCTGCTATCCGTGCTTCGTACAACGCATTTTTATTCGGCAGATAGCTATCCATTGGATAGGAGATTTATCCATTGGATAGGACTTATCCACTGGATAACTTATCCACCTTTCGGTCGGTCGGTCGGTCGGTCGGTCGGTCAGCCAGCCATTATACGTACCGTTTAAAAAAATCTTTTTATAACAATTTTATGTTACTTCAAAACATCTTTGTTTACATTCGTGCAAAGAATTACGTTAAAATCAATGTTTTCGAAATAGGCATACAAAAGTGTAGCTAGGGTTCCCTGTGTCTGTAGTATATTTATTTACTTGTATTTCACGTTTTAATGCCACAATTCCCTAAAAAGATCGGTGACCCCCGTTTTTTAACTGATAATTTATTTCTTTAATGCATTTTACATTTCATACCCGAAATTAAAAGAAAAATCATTTCTGGATCTTGAAAAAAAATCCTTTATCAATGCATGTTCTCAAAGAAAGATGTGTAATGAAATGTGGAAAAGACATTTGTGGATCAGAATTGTAGACGTTAGCAGTTTCATTTTGCTCAAAACGCAGTATTTTTTCAAAAATATTTACAAGATAGGTTTACTAAAGCAAAATCCGCGCTAAAAACGTCAATAAATATTGGGCTGTTGTGAGTTTGCTTTTACTCGTAATGAGCGTCAAGATGGCGCCATATTGGGGGTAAAGGTGGTATATTGTGATTGTCATATCTTCTTAACGAGTTCGGTGACCCCGACTTTTTTGTGTGATTTTACTCATAAACTCCATGCCTGGGAAGTTTCAGCACATTCTCATTTCGGGAACAATTACTGCGGAATTACCTTATGCTAATTTACATATCAGTTACACAATGTCGACTACAATTGTATTGTATTCTCATTGTATTATTACTTTGCTTTGTATGTTGGTCAAACTCGCCGACACATACACACGCGTATCTCTGAACACATGGGTGTTTCACCATTGACTGGAAAGAAACGTTCTGTTTCAACCATGTCAGGCATACTCGCTCATATACATACCACTAAACATCAAATTTCACCCTCTGACTTTAAAATCCTTTCCACTGCTAGTTCTGAAGCAGATCTACTCATTCGCGAAAGCCTTTTCATATCCAAGCTTAATCCTACTTTAAATGCTAACATTAGGTCAACTCCTCTTGACCTTTTCTAATGCTTTGCTAGGTCTCTAATTACTAACCATTATTTCTTTAATTTACTAATACTATTGCTTTTAATGACAGGTTGTTTTTCATCCTTCCTCTTATATATATATTCGCTTATTTGAATACTGTAACCGTTTGTAACTATTTGTATATATATAATACACGCTTGTAAATAAGTTTAATTGCTCTGAAGATGTTGTGAACAATACAACGAAACGTTAGCCAATAAATTTTATATTTTGTTATGTCTTGTCTGAAAGTCATTTG